ATAGGGTTTACTGTTCGCTTGGCTCAATTTTTTTCTCTTCAATCTATCTCCGGCTTATATACTAAACAAGAGGGTGTCTAGCAAATGCTGGGACAGTTGTGAGGTTGCCTGATAAGTCACAGAGGAGCAGAAAGCAATGTATCTGGCAACGAGCTTGAAGGGACAAATACTGGAAATACTTGGACAGTTGTCAGCAGATGACAGGCAAAACGATAGAGCACTGATAGCTGCTCTATAACTCGGGTATGGAACTCAAAATCAGTCCAAAGTCTACAGGGCTAGGTTTAGGACTAGAGTTCGTGCTTAAGGGGAGAGCCTGCAAGAGCTGGCACAGGATTTGGAAAAAAGGCACATAAGGCCTACCCAACTGTTCCATCCAATGTTCTCAAGTTGTTGCTGAGGGATCAATTCGTAGATGCCTTGGACAGTCCACAACTTACGATACAAGTAAAGCAAGCACACCCCCTCTGCTATGCAAGATGTAATGGCCAGAGCTCTTGAATTTGAATCCTACGTTAAGTCCAGCACAGAGGTGCCAAAGTTGGTACAGTCATCACGATTCAAGGCCAGAAAAGGTCAGCTTTCAGAGAAGTTTGAAAGACTTTGCTGGCACTGTAATAAACTTGAGCCCAAGAGAGCTCAATGCTGACAACTTCAACACAGGGAAGATGCCACAGCAGGAAAGGCTGCTACCCAGAAAGGCTGTTGGAACTGTAGAAAGCAAGGACATATGAAGAGCCAGTGTAAGAAGAATACTATCAATAAATCAGCCTCGAGGAAATCAGCAGAGGTTGGTGTTGAGGGATGCCCACCAACCCCCATCGTGAAAGCCCCTACAGCTAGGTGTAAAATGCCAAGCACACATAGTGTCTACATGACAGGAAAGCTGGATGGCCAAAAGTGCAACTTTGTAATAGATTCTGCGTCTCAGCAAACCCTTGTGAGTATCAAGGTGTTGGATCACAAAGGAATACCAGAATCCATACAGAAGCTCTGTGGTGTTTTAGGACATTATGCAAGGTTGTGGGGACCAGTGTGGGTAACTATTGAGCTCATGGGCATGAAGGACAGACAAAAATTATACTTGGCTGACATTGAAGACCAATGCATACTAGGGTTGGACTACTTACTGCTGAGGAAGTGTGTAGTTAACTTTGATAAAATGACGACTGGGAACAACAAAGGTCAAATTCCGGTAAGTGTTGCTGCACCTGTTGATTTGCATGTCACAGCACTTAAGTCAACTACAATACCCTCTATGTCAGAGAAGATAATTTGGGGTAGAATAAAAGAATA